ATAACGTGTAGTCCCGCAGGGACTCAGCACACCGCTCTCTTTCCTGTCGCTAACTACTTCCGTGTCACCTAGACATGGGTAGTTCCGATTCCCCTCCGAACTGTGTACTTAATCAATTTGGCACAGTCGTTAGATAGAGTAGTTTTTCTGTATCCTTTCGTACAAGACCTATAGGTATAGGGAATTCAATCCTAGTGTTCTCAACGTCCCAGCACTCCCATATGCCTCGTAGTGGACTCACACTTACTTCGGACATCTTCCCTACTGGCCTGCGTCGTTACATAGCAGATTGTATAACATACTCCTTGGGATTCATTTTGACCGCGTGGTGTTGATAATATAGAGCGTCAAAGCTGGGTAACGCATTGTGGTGGGTTGCGCGGGAACCCTATGTGCGCGGAAAGTATATGGCCGAGCTTATCAGTTGGTCCGTACAGTGTCTGACTATACCCCTGACCACTACCCTGGACTAGTGTGTTACAGGTCAGGTATACAGTCGTCTCCTCCTAGCTAGATAGCAATCCAGCACAGCATTCCATCGACCCGATAGTCCTACGTTATCGTTTACCGTAGCTATCCGTCTTCTACAGCGGTCCATACCGCTACAGAGATATTGTAAGTACATGGATTAGGTCACATGATATCCTATTGTAGAAGGCACTGCCTGAGTGCAAGCGCGATTACCTCTGAGCTGAGAGATTCTGTACAACAACACCACCGAACAACAACACAGATAACAATACAATCATTGACCACAGCCTCCAACCGACACTGCTCACGCAATTACAGATATATATCGCCATGCACACCTCTTCGTCACAACAACGAGATTCCAGATGGACGCCTCTACCGTACGGGAGAAAGAAACTTGGGTACAGGATTGTTATACAAGTTAATGGTAACCTAGAGGCCGTTCAGTCCTTCCCCAACAATGACAACGACTCTTACCTGGAATACTTGGCCCAGAAGTTCCCCACTGGAGAGTTCGGGAACTGGACAAGATGCCAACAGTTGCTTTCTCAAGCTGATATCGCTACAATAGTGTCCCGGTCACCTCCAAGTCATGGGAAGCATGGGCGCAGATAGCCACCAATGTAGCATGGTATTTATGGATGAAAGGGGACTATGAAAAAGCACGAGAGATGATCACAGAGGCTCTGAAAGTACGGGATAAGGTGCTGGAACCGAACGACTTTCAGACTCTGTTGAGCGTTGGAATTCTAGCTGGACTATTGTTGAGTCAGGGGAATTACAACGAAGCAGTGACAACGCACAAGCGGGCTTTGAAAGGGTTCAAGGAGACTCTAGGTTCATTACATCCCTTTATACTCACGAGCACCAGTAATTTGGCTTAGCGCTTCAACATCTGGGAAGGTACAGGGACTCAGAGAAGTTGAGTCGACTGGCATTGAGGGGAAGTAAGATGGTCATGGGATCATGCCATGTGGACACCCTGACGAGCATGAGCAACTTGGCGCTTGTGTTGCAACATCGAGGCAAATACAAGCAAGCAATGAGGCTAAACCAGCAATCTCTAGATGGCTTCCGCGAGATACTCGGAAAGCGTCATCCTTCCGCACTTACCAGTATGAGCAACCTGGCGGTGGTGTTGCAGTGTCAGGGCAGGTATGAGAAGTCCGAGAAACTGCAGTGGCAATCTGTCACGGTTTGGGGTGCTCCTGCCTGTCGTACCTCACCTGTCATGAGAGTGACTGCCACGTCACACTAGCGTTGTTTACAGCTACTCACCTATATATACTGTTCGTAGCTTCACTCCATACAACCTCAATACAATCTTCAAATTCTTCCCTTTGCGTACAGTTCTTCACTGAACTCTAACACTTATTACAGCCTTGAACTCTGAGATGTGGACCGGAAGTTCCAGGGTACACGTTATGTGAGGAATAGGGGCAGGGGTATGAGCACGTATACCTGTTACAGTAAATGCAATAAGTGAAGGTGTAACCGCGCAGGGCAGTAAGTCAGGGGTAACCGCGCGAAGCAGTAAAATCGGTATATATTGTGGTTGTTCTTACTGGACCTGTACTTCACGAGGTTTCTAATAATCGAAAACGGAAGAGAAGGCCTGCGGGTCCACCTGCACAGAAGTATGACAAACTTTCTACGTTTACGCGAGAACGACAACGCGCTGCCATCGAGCTGCGTGGATTGGTTTAAATTGCTTCCATGCTAAATGATAGGCTATCGACGTAATAGCTTGACGGGTATATAGAAGGGCAAAGATTGGAACGATGATCGATTGGTTGTTCATAAGTCGCGCAGCCACCGTTCACGTATCTTAAAACCTAGTCATCAACTTGCTCCAATGAAACGTACTTTCTTCCCTCTTTCTAGTCATCCTTCTTGTTCCCACTCCACTTTCATCCCCTGGGCTCCTCCTCAATTTCCTCCTCTCTTCCGACTTCTGCCCGAGATATGACGTTATGGATATTGCGGCGGCGACCACACGATCGTGACAGGACCCTGCATCTCTCTAACGCATAGTATTTCGCACATTAATGGAGAACTTGAGGTATACGCCTGATCACCATGACGGTACCATGCCGGACAGCATGTTCTCCACGTTCAACTCGTCGCGGTAAGCCGGAAAGATTTGATCGACAACATCTGCAATCCACCGAGGGGTATGTCGAACAGTAAAATGCATCTTGGAGTGTTCCCAATACTCGGGATACCATCCTGCACATTCCCAATCCACTATGCCCGAGATCCTCCCCATCTCATCGACAAGGATATTCCTGAGATTGAGATCTGCGTGGGTGAAGACAATGTCGTGCTTCACGCCGTGCGACTTCGAAATCTGCCTCCATGCATCTTCGTCAAGAGGAAGATCGGTCGTCAAGAATTGATTGAATTCGGTCTCCTCGTGGAATCGCAATTGCTTGCGTTGGGAGTCACTGATTCGCCAATCCAAAATGCCACCACCCAGTGGATTACAAATGCAGAATCGTGAACCGGTATTGTTAGGAATACGCCGCAATTCAGCAAGATAGTCCTTGAGGTCTTTTGCAGCTTCGTCCAGTTGTCTATCAGTCATGGTAGACAGCCTTTGCCCTATACCGCATCCATGGAGACCGGTCATGAGGAGATACGATGATCCACGGTGCTGAATCGCGTCTATCCCCTTTGGTGCGGGAATATGCGTGTATGTCTGAACGATTTGGAGTGATCGAAGCTCTGCTTGGTGTCTCAGTGCCCAGTCTTGATGTGTTTTTCGCAGGTAGAGATTGAAAGGCAATTGGTGAATCCGGTCGGAACCAGTGTCTCCACAGAACTGTTGTCCAAGCGATGCTAGGCACTCGTAGGCAGTTGCTCGAAGAGACACGGGCGTTTGCAACCACAGGTGTTGGAGTATTGGATATACAGGTTGGATGCACCGTCGAAACCAACTTCTCTTCGCTGGAGCCTTCCTAGCTAAGCTGGTCTGGTCCTGTGATGTTAAGCTGCATGAGGAGCTGCAACTTTGTTTCATATAGTCAAACACTTCCAGCCATGCCGAAGCTAGTGCGAATCGATGGTGTGCTTCAATAAGTTGCGGATTTGGGAGAGACGAGGTATCCATAGCCCTGTTCTCCAGTCTTATGAGAGGAAAAACGTCGACTCGTATAGACGGAATAAAAATGTTCGTTTTCACAAAGTACTGGGCCTGGCGCTATTAGAAAAGGTTGGTTACCTCATAAAGGAGACTTACTGAGTTGCTCGTAGCTCCCAGCGGATCAGCCTTCAGGGAAAGCCTTCCATTTGCGAAATCTGCAAGCATTTGCGACGACAACAGCATCAGCTGATCGGAAGGATCATAGCCAGAAAAGTCAGAATTTTGATCTAAGAGCGATCTCAGAGATTCCAACTTCGATCGTCCAATGTACACTGCGAGCATGGTGTAAAGCCTCCCCTGTTGAAAATTTAGCCACATTAGGGCCAAGGACGTTGAGTCCTTACATCTTGGACCATGTCTCCATCTTGAAAGAGAGTAGGAGATACTATATGAATAGGCAATGGATCTTCATCGGCCTTCGAGATACAGCATCTGCCTCCATCTCTCCGCCATATGCTCCGTCTGAGTGACGGGTCCAAATTCTCGCAAACAATCGGGCGTACTGATGAGATTGTCAGTATAGTTTGAGGAAGAGGATGATGGAGACATACCCCTCCGCAGGAGACTGATCCAATCAGCTAAGAATTCAGCAACCGTGGCTTTGTTGTGTCCAACAACATCATTGAGGATGAAACGAGCCGCGGATTCTTTATCGACAGCCTGCTGTACAAAAGCACTGAGAAGAGCTCTCTGAGGATGGGCAAGTGACTCCGCAATGAGAGAAATCGCTTGGAACTCAATAGAAGCTTCATCGCAGGAGAGAAGGTGGGAGGCACATCGGGAGACGTGGTACGGACTACCCATAGCGCCGCTTGTATCAAGGTATAATTCAAAGATATATCGACTAGAAAACTATAGGTGAAGTTGAAGGGATGTGATCTGTCGCAGTCAGCGGGAGAAAAAGGCAGCGTGCACTTCAAAGACGCAAGGGTGGTCAGTGCGCATATACACCCCCCAGTCAAAAAACCTCGGACCCTTTGCTGAGGTAACCTGGAATCCACCCTGCATCAACACTAAGCCTATACTCAACCTGCAGCAGCTATAATAATACCAGATCTTCATATTTCTTGACAAACAATGCATCTCCATAATTGCAAAGTGATGCTCTTCAATCCTGTCAGGCCTCATTGCAACAGTCTCACTTGCGCATGGTTTTATCACATGTTTGATCACAAGGATGATTTTACACACGTGCCATTGCAATACCTCTTCCAATAGCTCAGCATCCCTGGCTCCACTACATACAATTGGCTTCATGAGGGGCAAGAGATAGGTGATATTGCAGCCCGCCATCATGATGGGAGAGTTCAAAAGCAACTTTTACAAGGTTCCCAAGGCTCTGGCCAGCCTTACAAGATTACCAATCTGCAGCTACATCAATTACTCAACATAGAGCAATCAAGCCATCAGAAACAACTGCAAACACAGTTATCAGAAGCTCATATTGTGTGAGAGGGGGCCAGCTGGGGATACCAACTGCTCTCTGAGATGGAAGGATTGGTGGAAGGATGGTTCAGGCTTGTTGGAGATAAGGGTGTAGAAGAGACCAAGTGTAGGGATACCACAAGTGATAAAAAGGATAAGTGATAAAGAAGGGATCAAGTGTGGGGATACCCCATAGGATCAATGAGGAGTGAGTTGAGGAATGAATTGAAAGGTGAATTGAATTGAGTTGCCAGCATGAGTTATCTGAGCAGGAGGGCAGACTGCCTTTATAGACAGACTATTGGCTCCTGGAATGTTCTAGGTACATTGGCATTTGTAATCATTTGTCAGCATTTGTCAGCAACCAGAAGATTCTGTGTTGTTCCATGGGATTCCATGATGTTCCATGGGATTTCATGATGTTCCATGAGGTTCTATGGGATTCTATGAGGTTCCATGAGGAGTCACTGGGTGGGTTGTTATTGGCTGCAAGCCATGTCAGGATGACACTAGTGTCAAGACTCAGGTCCGGCCCACTGAGCCAAGCAAGCCAAAAGGTATCACAGCTCACTCTAATGGTGAGCCTTAGCCGGAACAGTACTAAATCATCAGCCAGGCCTGACAGCTAGTTAAAGTAGGGTACAAGGTGATGATGCAAATGATGATGCAAGCTGACAAATGGCAGGTTGATGGGAGCCTTAAAAAGACTAAGATGGTTGTTGTTGACTGCAAGCCATGTCAGGATGACACATGTCTTAGAGACATCAACTTTGTCTATTCCACATACAAGATTCTTGATCATCTCTCTTGTTGGTGGAAAGTGATGCTCAGTAAGGCTTATAACGTACTGTACAAGCTCCTCCTCTTGTTGTGGGTTGGCTTTGAGCTGGTTGAAGTTCTTGGTCTTCTGATCCATCTGAACACATTGGTGATGCCACAGTAGAGTTATGCAATCAACACCACAATTGGTAGCAGTTTTCTGGTAGCAAAGTTTGTTTCCTGGGTTCAAATTATTAATCTGCCTGATTTCATCATCCATTCTAGGCAATGGTTGTTGTATTGCAATGTGTTGAAGTGTAGGTGTAGCTTATGGTAAACGGGCGGCACGCGAACACGGGCGGCACGCGAACACGGGCGGCACGCACACTGACACGGTAATTGATCGCGCCACCAGGCTGATCCCAAAGATAAGTATGACCTCTACTTCAACCTCCTACGCGTTACGATCAGCCAACACGACGTTAAGTCTTGCCACACGTAGAATACGGACAAGAAAGGGTGAACTCATTCACAAAAAGAGGGCGTTGTCGCACGGCTGGGTGCGGGGATTGCAGATGTGAGATATCAAGAAGAGTGTGTATGTTGTCGTATTGTTTTAGCATCATAGCTCAGCTTATATCTAGGCCATTGCGCGGCATGATTAGTAACACAGTTTAGGTTCACGACAGCGCTTGGCCTGCGACAGGTGTTCATTAGGAGAATCTACAAGGAGGGATTTGATGCAGTGGATAAGCTCTCTCGTTGAGCAGATGCTCCAAGCGCCTCTAAACTTAGTGCTTATGCCAACCCTTATCTTCCTCAACACCCCGCGTTCTAGCTCCAGTAATCAGTGTTACTTTGCGCATCTCTATCATCCATCTCCTGTACCAACGTTACCGGATACGGTGAAATTGAGGTCTTCTATGGTGAACGCCCAGGAGACAACAGGTTCTCCTGTCCGATCCGTAGTCTGTTAAGGTACCGTTTTGAGGGTTCGGTTGCGCAAATTCACGTTTTCAGTATGCACAAAGTCATCTGCGCCCTAACCCAATAAGCTGTCTACTTCATTGTTCGTGATAATGAGTTTCATTACAAACACGAAGTGTTGAACGGCGGGCACGATGCCCATCAAGCCTCTCTCAACTGCTTCGTCAAAGGTGGAGAAGTTGATTTGGGTAGGTTCAATAATGACTACAACGTTTGGCTACCAAATGACAATATTATAGACAGGCACCAATGAGAGTACATATGAGAATGCAAATAAGTTAACATGCCAAACTGAGAATTTCGTGATTGCTCGCGATCGATTCCAATCAGAAGCGCGAACTACAGCGACGGGACCGCTGAGAGGGGCTCTGAGCCTTCTTCGACCGGTCATTTGATATGTTCCTCTGTTCAAGGTTTTTTGTTGGAGTGTAATACACGTCCAGTCTTGACAACGCACTCGATTGTTGGTTCAACCTGTGATAGCTTCCTTCGTCGTCAGATAAATCGTGGTCTTCAATGTCTTCATTCGCGCTTGAATCTTCGCCGCTTTTGGAGTCATGATCATCAACCTGCAAATCTAGTTCCTCTTCTTCTGCACTCTCACTTTCTGTGCTCTCATCCTCTGAGCTGGGGGGTATGTATGACGCGTCGGATTCGTCATTCTCGGATGGTTCATCATCGCAAACGAATGCAGACAGCTTTTCTTTCTCATCTTCCTCGCTTTCGCATCCACTCGTGTGGACGCTAGAGTATCCCTCGTCTGCACTATCGTCGGTCTCCCCCGTGTTCGATTTGGTATAACCGTTTAGCTGTATCTTTGGGACGTTGGCTTTTGCTTTCCACCTGTCAAAAGACTCGGGGGCTGTCTTGCCACGTGGTAGGGGAGGCATTGCTTTTGCTCGTGGGGTAAGGTGCCGCTCTACTGGAGCTGGTAGATCCCACCTTTCGAAATCCAGTCTTTCGCTCAGTGGCTCGCAAGAAACAGCTCTCCTTCTCTGCACCACCGCATCGCCGCTTGGTGTCAGAGAAACCGTCTGTGGGGGATCCTCGTGGACAATACGTATCCACCTGGAGATCTCAGGCTTAATGCGAAGGTACACCCACTCTTGCATGTTTTCCACAATCATACGTAGCGCCATAACACCCCAAGTCAGTTCCAGTGATGTGGCCCAGATGCAGACCATGATTATACGTCCCTTTTTCTGCCTATGCTTGCTTTTCTGGCTGCGTTCGCGCTTGCTTGCGTGCTCGCTCTTGTTACTGTCAGAACTCCTGTTCACTCTAGAAGGTGACATTAGACTTACTGGCTTCTCCCGATAGGTGATCCAGAGCTTAACAGTTGGGCCAACGCAAGTGAAAGAGAACATGACAAGAGCATCATGCAATCTGGAGTTGTCTTTAGCCGTCACAGCCAAGTCCTCTCTCAGAGTCAGCCCCGCTGCGGACGCATTTGCCGCTTGACAATAGCAGAATTGCTTCCTCTTCTCATGTTGACTCCCATTACTTTTGTTTTGTCTCATGTGTCCGTCGTTCGTAACTGGTCTCTCTGTACCATGTTTGACTTCGACAATGGCCCATGGGAAGCACATCAGATGTTTAGCGTCCAATGTCACCCTTTTATTCTTGGCTACCTGATGTAGCTTTGTCGTTGGCGATGAGATTACGCTACCTTTCTTCCTGTTGCGCAGCTCACTGAGCCACGGTAAGGAGAAGCTCTCCACATAAGGATCATGTTTGTACTTTGGGTACAGCTCAGCGGCTGTTTCGATGATTTTGAAGGCATAGGTAAGGTCGGGTTTTGGTTGTGTCGGTCGTTGAATCTCTGGGTCCAATCTAGCCCACCGTGGGAATTCATTCCAAAGAACGTCTTCGTGTCTACATGTTTTAGTGAGGACGGATCTTAGAGTAGATTGAGGTAGCATACAATTCCCACCCGTATATTGTTTCTCTGCTCACGTTACTTCTCCGTCTTTGTTATATTCTTCAGAACTTACTTATGGAAATCCATGCCTCCTGGAAGATCAAAGAAATCCTCGAAGATGTATTGACGGAAGAACTGTGTCCATCTGGGCTCGTTTTCGTTTCTTTCGCGCCAACGTCGTACCTTTTCCGCGGCTTGCTGACAAGTCTTCAACTCAGACACTTGCTCAGGGTAAGCCAATCCTTCTTCTGTCTTGCCGGGCCCTAAGCTCCAGTCACCTTCAAAGGCTTCGTCGCGATCCTGCCCCGAAGCTTGGAATTTTCTTAATTCTCTTCTGAAACACTTATTTGCCTCCTTTGGGGGGTTTTTTCGTTTTCGTGTTAGTTGGTAGCTTATTGGCTGTATCCAATCTTCCAACTCCTCAAACCGGTGCACCTTCTCGATAAAATGAATTCCATGGCTTTGGAGTCCTGATTTGCTCAGCGAGGGCTTCTGATTGGCTTTGTCTGAAGACATGTCAGTTAAAGACGTCACCCCTGAAAACTCAGGCGCTGCTTGCATCTTATTTATACTTACTGGGCGATCCTGCATCCTGACGCTTGCCTAATGTAAAGTTGCGGCACAGTGCATGCAGTTAAAACGAAATGAAAGCACTGTCCGCGGAACACCTGCCGTTTTTGTTCTTTCCGGATTAGCTGCCTGCTAAGCGATGCAATTGAGCATGTAGGTGGTATCAGATTCAAATAACGGGTGAATCTGCTCCTTAATCCCAGCCGTAATGGACAGAACAAGCAATGGGAAGTCGCCGCAGAACAGGGGTACCGGTAGTCCGCAACACATACCAAGTGGAAATGATGTCTGTGTCTATATCCAACCACTACGTGCCAATAGCCGCCGCCTTGAAATAGTTGGCCTGCACCAACACTTCAGCGTTTTGCGTCGCTAGGTAAGCGATCCCTGTCGAGATGGACTACCATAGCTAGGGTAAAGATTGGAGATAATTATGATAACGAAGACTCTATCTTCCACATACGACCATAGGACGTTGAAAACAAGGCTTCCCGTTCGCTCAGCCCTATTTAAGCAACGTACCGGCGGATTAGTAGTTAGGTGGGTGACCACTAGCGAATACCCGCTGTTGTATGTTTTTACATCTTTTTACCCTACCGTAGGTGGGACACGTAATGTGTAATGGTTTATGGAGGTCACGAGTGACACGTGCTGGTGCAATGCCCTTGCCTGTTCCAATAAGCATCTCCTGCTCTTGACTGCACAAGATATACGTCATGTAAACAGACCCTGATGACTGCCTGGTGAGGGGCAATCACAGAACAGAACAACACAACACAATATACTGATTCTACTGCTTCGCGCGATTACCCCCTGACTTACTGCCCTGCGCGGTTACACCTTCATTCATTGCATTTACTGCAACAGAAGGCCCACAGGCGCGTAATGCCCTACCAACACCAAAATCCACCTTTAGCAACATGGAGCTGCAGCCACCCCAACAATAGATATTATGTTGGAGTTGGTCAACTGTACGCAAAGGGAGATATTCCTGACCCAGGAAGACCGCAGGATGCTGGCATTAGAGGCATAGATTAGGCTTGGATCTGTTAGAAAAGGTGTCGCGGTGGATTGTGAGTGATCAGTACGCGTGTGCGGAAATATTGAAGGATTGAACTGAGGTTGTATTTCACTATTCTGTGTGTTTAAATATGTTGTGGTCTCGGTTGAGACCCTATTATCCTGGTATATACTGTTCTGGGGTAGCGACTTTCAGGGCCAGTATATAGTCGGCTTCTCCTCACGTAGTCTAAACCGTGACAAAAGGTTATCTTCGTACCAGAAGGAGGTACCGTGACATGGCTTGTACCTGCCACTTAATTTTACGAGTACATACACTTTCCAAATATCGGAGATCCTCAATCTCTTAATCAATCAATATTATCTTTTGCAAAAGATATGGGACCCCCCCCCCTAGGAGTTAACAAGCCAAACGACGTCATCGCTGGCTGTTTGTAGTACAATTGGAGGCGCTAGTGATCGATAGTCTTGTTGCCAGAGTGAATTGATGCTGCAGGTGCTGTGGGTGACGATTGGGGAGCTGTTTGGAGGCGGCAATCGCAGTGAGGGAGGTGTCAGTGTAGGAGTACTAAGGCGTAGTTGTCACGGGTATATACTGTTTGGCTCCCAGAACCCATATCTATTGGGTTACTGTACCTTTTTGGTTGGTGTAGCTCAGGTGGGACCAAGCCGAGCCCTCACAGTAGTATGCGTAGTGGAGGTGTACTGCGTGTTATAGTTAGCGTACTTTGGGTCCCAAAGCTCTGAAAGTCATCGATGGGGGACCGATAGTAGTGCTAAGGCGTACCATACCCATGTTTTGGCTGCCAGAGATGCCGCTGAGGGAGCTGCTGGGTTTATAGTGACGCCACCCCATACAATTGCTCCCCAGCTCCTGCCCCAATTCCTCTGGCACTGTACTGTGAGTGAAAGTATGCTGCCAAACCTGATTTTCTCCTTACTGACAACCTGTAGATGGCTCCTTCACGCCCACAGCGTAAGCGTCACCTCACCGAGCAAGGCTCTCAGTATGAGCAACTCCGATTGAGCCAGCGACGTCATCAGTACCGTGAGGCTCATTGCGTCAGCTCATCCACCTCATCTATGAGCTCCGCTCACCCGTCTTGCTACTCCAATGAGACAACGGAGGATGAAGGAGAGGGTGTAGGTGCTGCTGATGGGTTGATTGTACCAGAGACTCCGCAAGAAGCAGAGCCAAATGACCCCAATTGGCAGCAGAACCTGCTGGAGCCTGAGCTCAGTAGCAGCGACGGTGAAAGACCTGCCTCAGGCCAGCAATTGGAGTCGGAGGATAGTGATGTTGGTGACGATTACTCCATTGGCCGAGCTCCCCGGGTCAAATTCACGGCTAAGTTCAGGTCTCTCAATGCCGACAAGCCCATTGTGGGTAGTTATACTACCCGAGAGCACACCAATCGCTCTCTCAGGCTTGACGATTTGATTGATTGGGCTCAGAGGGAGGTGCAGAAGCAGTCTCCGGTGCCAATGACATACACAATTGCTGTGTATGTGTATCTCCAAGGTCAACACAAGAACTCTGCGCTCTGTGAGACGATTGCCAACGAGGACGACGATGCTGCTTTCCGGCAATTTCTAGTGTCACTTCAGCGCAAAAAGCTGGAGCGTAGAGCTCTACGAGGCGCGCGGAAGACAATTGTTGCTGAGTTTGACTTACATCTGTACCTCCAACAGCCGCCACACAGGCTCAACAGCCAGCTATTGCAGCAATCGCAGCAATCACAGCCAATTCGAGGTGGGGACTCGCAGCAATCGCAGCCAACAGTCGCTCGGAGGAGTGCTACTACGCGTCAATTGGAGGAGCTACCCGCCGAAGTAGAGTCTCTAGACGTTGTCGCTGGTCACGGACTCGCTGCTTTTACTCAAAGTTGGCGCTGTATGCTCAGCAGTTGCCCTAATCTTCACCGCACTTGCTGGGTTGACCTGCGCAATGGCGAGAGCTTACCTGGGAGGAGCTCCCGCCACTACGCTGTACCCAATGCCGCCATGACTATGTGGCTGGCTGACCTCAACGATCGAAGCTGTACTGTAGCAGAGCCATCAGAGCGAGTTGTGGCAAAGCTTTGTCAGTGGAGAGAGCGAGAAATCAACTCTCGTACAGCCCGTTACATGCAACACCAGCAGCTGTTAGAGTTGCAGTCGCAGCAGCAAGACCAGTTGAGTCGATTGGCATTGACGATCGAGAGCCTCACCGAGCTCTACACAGCCAAGTCGGTGTCAGAAATGGCACATGACGAGTTGAGAAAGTCTCCAATCAACTGCAATTACGAGGAGTGGGAGATCACACACGCCTTCTTTGAGTACTGGTACCAGCACGATGGTGACAAAGAGCCGTACAGCTTGTACGTTGTCGCTATTGCGCGCACAATGACTGGACAGCACTTCAGTCTGCAACAATTAAGGTCTCCGCATGAGCTTTCTACTCGATCTTGGACCCAAGATTACTGCTGGCTGCTCACTGTTCTTGACAGGATGAGGCGGAAGATCAATGAGTACATTGAGTCTCCGACCTGGGAGACTTGGATAGGTGCTGAGTATGAGTGGACAAGCGAAGCCACCCACAGAGAGCGTACGGAGACTGCAGCACGCGAGAGTCTGGCTGCAATGGGGGTGTTTGATGGTGTTGAGTGAAGTAGTTCCCGTGACATAGCTTGGTCTCAATGAAAAGTTGGTCTTTTTTCAAGCGCTCTTCAGAGGTAATTCTTTCAATTATGAAGTTGCTTCCTGTGAATTGTAAGTACCATAGGATGATGTAGAGGTGTCGTGGTTATAGTCATCCAACCCAAACTTTTGAACGTTCATCGTCCGATCCTTCTGCCAACTTCTGGCCGTCACATGTAGTCAAGTTTTCCCCTCAATGCTGCCACGCCGCGACACCAAAATCAATTTTAATATAGTGTTATAGGTTTGTGAAAGCAGACATGCTGCATCTTTCTACGTACTCAAATTATCAATTAGAGGTGTTGTTGTATTAGTGTTGTTCTATACAAAGTTTTAAAAGTGTGGTGTTAACATGTTTAATGCGGGGCTCAGACTAACAATCAAGCCTCTGGCTAAGAATTGTGGGGAAATTAGTGCTAAAATTGCTAAGCAAGCATGCTGTTACATGCTGCCGCATACAATACTAACCTTTGCAAAACTTTAATAATTCAAACACGACCTTTTTCAATGCATCGCATTAATTTTAACTACAGCAATTAATTCTACAGCATCTGTTTACCCTTAGCAAGCTATTCTGCCAATATCTCAATTGCGTTGTAGTGTTGATGTTAGAGATCTAACAAAGCAACTTTTTTTGACTGTCTTAGTGCCATCACTGCTCACCTAGTGCCAACTCCTCATAACCACAACGATTGTACATGGCCGTACAGTCTCTGTTGATCATACAGCATCTCACAGCATGCTCAAGGAACCCTTCAAGTGTGGGGAAGCCATCCATCAACTCCCAATTGCGACGGATCCAGGCCTTCAGCACTCTGAAGCTTTGCTCAATCGGGTTGTAGTCCGGTGGGTATGGCGGAAGCTGCTCCACACAGACACCGTGCGCACCACAGTTGGCACGAAGGCGAGGGATGTCGTGCTGTGAGGCATTATCCATTACGAGTATAGAGCGTGGAGCTGGCCATGGGTTACAGTGTGGCAGAACCTGGATAATGATGAATGATTCAAAGAGCTCCTTGGTATAACCACCGCTAATAACCTCCCAGGCGAAGTATCCGTGCATGTCCATTGCTGGAAGTACACTCCATCGAGGCATACAATCATGCCTAAATGCGCTTATGCACTCGCTATTCACCGGGGCCCATCCTCTCCTCCTCTCCGCCGTGCGCTCATTGGCGGCACTCTCATCAATGGAGACCACCTGGTCCATGCGGAATGTCCTCTGCTTTGCTGAAAAGTGGTTACGGAGCTCATCGTTACGGTGCCTAGAGTGCTTTGCAGTGACTTTGTGGGTGTAACTGTGGCGATTGAGGACCCGATAGATGGTCCATTGGCCAACATTTACGCCCCAAGTCTCCCACATCCACTCTACGCACTCATCTAAGTACGCCGTTGGGTTACTATCAATCCAATCAAGGAGTTCCTACACCAGAATTGTCAGCGTTGAGCATCTCCAGCACCTCTGGCAACAGCTATCTTACCTCTTCCTGTACTGGCAACAGGTCGCGAGGCCTGCCTGTAGTGCATATACTTGGCAAGTATGGTCTCCCGCTTGTCTCTAAGTGCAATCGGATGCGTCGAGCGGTCTTTCTATCAACAAAATGATGCTTGGCAATTGTCCAATTGCCAGCTCCAAGGCGTATGTCGACAATAATGTCCAACAAGATGTTGAGAGGAAGTCTACGACCCATGGAGAAGCAATTCTAAGATGGTGGAGATGGTGTACAATGCAAAAGAGTACGCTCGACCATACTAAATAGTCGTACTTTGCATTCTGGGTCACTGAAATCATCTATCCAAACAAGGGGGGGGGTCCCATATCTTTTGCAAAACACCGATACACACATAACTCAACAGGATCTAAGGTAGTTCCGTCGGCACAAATTGTGGCCATAACTGTGATCCAATCCCTTGAGCCATCTTGTAGAGCTGCTCGAAGTTCACCCCTATCTCACATGGATTTGCTGAAGACCCTGTGAGTCCTAGTAGTGTCAATGGGTATAGATAGTGGATAGCATAGATGTTGTATTAGTTACTATCTGAGCTACGGTCTGTGTAGAGGAAACCACTGTAAAGGAATTAGGACGGTTTAGGCCTAGTGGCAGCGGATCCAAGATGACACAGGTGCTGGGTGAGGCATCCGGGCATCAATAAAGGGTCCTTATATGACGTATAAGCGTCTCCTCTTCGTGCTTTGAAAGTCTCAATTGTCAAAGATAGGTATTGTGTCGTGAAGTTCGACTAGCGCGTTAGTGGCGGATTGTGCTTTTAGGAGCGTTGTACTTCACAGCAGCGCGTCGCTGGCTTATCGTCGCGTCGGATTTAATTGCTTGGATAGCAAGGATAGCTCTATCTTCACAAAAGAGCGGCTCAAGAACAGGTGTTTAAGGTATCACGACAGGTGGTGGAGAGAGGTGGGGTGTTGACAGAGTGCGTTGCTTGATGGTGGATCACGTTATGCTGTCCGCTTCTTGGATTTTTGCCATTCAGACTGTCAACACCATAGATGCCGTGTATTTAAGACAGCTCATCAGAATGACACCCAAACTCTTGTTGGAGAATTTAAGTAATGTCAGCTTGAGATCTGCATCTAGTTCCGTGCCTAATACATCAACAGCACAATTGTAGCGGTGTGGACCGCTGTAGAACACTGAGAGCTACGGTAAACAATAATGTAGGACTATCGGGTCGATGGAATACTGCGCTGTATTGCTATCTAGTTAAGAGGAGACGACTATACACCTGACCTGTAACACACTAGTCCAGGGTGGTCAGTCAAGGGTATAGTCAGACACTGTACAGACCAACGGATACCGCAACAACAATGTTTTATGATTGTCCGCAAGAGGTTACGTCACAGCCACGTTGACCACAATACTAGTAGCTTGAGTTTTCTAGACTAGTCGAATGGTCGCATTCTTGAACTCCATCAAATTGCTGTCATCCTCCAAGTAGCGGTCAAAAGAGGCTTCAGTCGACATCTGACATCCGCATTGACAACAAGGAACCACTCGTCGAGCTTCAAATAACTCTTTTACCCTCATTACGCCCTGACTTTCGTCAATACTGGGCCTTCCTAGGCAGCTCCAGGTCACAACCCCCAAGCGCATGTATGTCCCATCCGGCAGACTTTGCAAGATTATCGCTTGTACGTCTTTCCAGCAATAGGATGTAACAGCAGCATTGTGTTCGGATGATCCACCGCCCAAAAGAAGAACCGGGGAAGGTTCAGACACAGAATTTCGCCGAAACTGTTCCAGGGTCTGGAGGTCCGCAAGTATAGATACTTTATGAGTTGGTATGGGGGACTGAACCTTAAACTTTGGAATAGCGTCTCCATCAGAACAATCCTCGGAAAACCAAAGAGTAGTCACCCATCCGCTCAAAAGAATACATGGCTGGAATAGTGAAAGACTGTTTCTAGAGCCTAACATTTGCTCGTAATTTTCAAGCTGTACACATTGGCCTTGACGTAATGGAAATTTTACCGATGGAGACACAGAGTCCCTAGTGATGGACTTCCGGGAAAATTTGCGAAGGGATGTCCAGGCGGCCCAAGTCCAAGATGGAAAAGCGTGTCTCCTTTCCAGTACATGCGCGTTGGTATGATCATATAGGTCGTTCGACCACGCCAGCGAGGAGAGGAAAGTTGAATAAAGTTGGTCAACCTCAGTGAATCTGTTTGGTTGCTGCACAACATTTTTTGTCCAGCCAAACCTACTCATTGGAAGTCCCCAGAAATTATTAACAGGGTGTTCAATTTCTTGGAAGGCCTGGAAGATCCCAAGGAAAGCGTTCAGGGCGTCTGATTCTCGAGATAGGTGTCTACTAAGGTACTCCTGGATCCGCATCTCGATCTCAGCTCCTGTTTTTCCTATACCTTTCTGTGGGAAGACTCGGAAAGTTTGGTTAAACTCTTTGAACCGTGTTAGATCTTTTGTGTGTGCTCTTGTGAGATTGGTCGGAATGGCCTCACAGCAATGCATGTGCCAGCACTGAAAATACGTCTGAGTTTCAGTGAATACCAAGCGTCGTCTTGATAGAAGGTTTTCTTGCAGAGTCCACCCGCGCGTTGACCATGGGCAATCTTGTACTTCCCTTACAGCGTCTGGAATGCAAATCAGTCGATGACCATGCGTATCGACTGAACTCTGTGGCTTTCGTGCTCTTGTTGACACACCCGGAAGGCCAAATCCAGGGCGGTCTCCATATCCGGCAACAATCGTGACATACGCGGATCTGTAGACTTTGTGCATGTTCTGTAGTTGTATAGGTTTGATGGGTGAATCCTTGTCCTGATCAATGCAGTAGCGGTCTACCCACAGGTAAGGAATGGCAAGTTTTCTAGCAGCATCGAGTGCATCTTCGATTGCTAGAGGCACAACCTTGGGCAGTTTGTTGAGCTTCCTTTGTGGTTGCTGTTCACCAGGTTCCCAACAATAGCTTAATGCGGCAAACTCGCTTTCAGGAGGTGCATCAACAATCAAACGGCTGGTGCAGTTGATAAGTCGGAAGAAGGGGATATTGTCGCGACTGGTCATTCTGCAGCCATTCGAATGATTGCAGTCACAAAATTTAAGCCAGTCCCGTACCATGGCGAAGTTGACGGTATTGGTCAGAGAGCTCCAGGATGGGTCGCTGACGTCGCCAGCATTGTCGAGCAATGTCGGGACAATCCAACCACGATACTCTCCTTTGCTGTGCTCATCCTCGATGGCCAAGCTGAGTAAAATTTTGCTTTCGGCAAGCGTAGGTCCGAGAACGTTCTCCATATGGTGAACATTCAATGAGTATTTGGTGGCAGTTGGCCAATTCCAGTTCCTCGAACAGGTCAGGACAAAGCAGCAGAGCTTACAGGAAGACACATCAGCTGCTCTCAGCGAGCCTTCGAAGGTGTGAAGTCTCCGTGATTTGTTATATCGGATCCGTGTCATCAGACTCTTGAGCTTCACCTTAATCTTTGCGCACTCCAAGCAAAGCTGCTTCACATCCGAAAGTGAGGCTACAAAGTCTGCAACCTTATCACCCAAAAGTAACGATTTCCGTTGCCAAGTACAACGCTCGGGCTTTTCTATTCGCAGTTCCTCTTTGTGGCGTTCAAGGAACGTATTAGCCCAACCTTTGCCGGGAGGTCGAATCTGTTGGGCTATTCGATGTAGGCCCGGAGCTCTTGAGCGCCGACATTTAATCTCGAAGGCTTGATTGCGTACGTAATTTGATATCGAAGTTGACCCTGCGTCGAGGAGGCGAGCAGCATAGACAGACAAGATCTGCTCTTCCTCGGCCGTAAGATATCTTTGCTTTTCTGCATTTTGTTGAATCGTCGGCATTCCATGTTTACGACGCCACAATGTAGTTAAAGAAACCGACTTGGTCGTTGACTCTTTAAAGCCAGTGTCGTCAGAAGACGTAGCATAATTCCGGATTTCAGCTTGAGACATCGATTTGTGGTAGATGGTGAGTCTCTGGTGTATGCAAGCCTAGGCTGGCTGGTATACCGATAGGGCCTGCAAAAAGTTCGGCAGAAAATCGCAGAAGAATCGTTCTTCCCTCGGATCTCCGTTACTGGAGGTCTTATGACTGTGAAATCGATGGGCAAGTGGGCTGGATAATTTGGCCGGAATGCTGCTCCTGCCGCTTTTATACTTCATTAACGTTGTTACTTTCTTGAAATGAGATTGTGGGCGCAGTATGATCCTGGTCCACGCTGCGCCGCATCCAATACTGCTGCCTAGCGCAGCGCCTAAATCAGACTGTTGGGAACGTTTGCGCGAAGTTGTGCTAAGCTGCCGTGTTTGTGCGCATTTTGCGCACAGTTGTACAAATCACTTCACCGGTGAGCAATCATCCCTGGTGAGTGAATAACGCTGGCCGTTAAGCTCGGCCATGTCCTTTACGACCACATGTACTTTTCAAGCCTCCTCCAATTCCCCAAGTCAAATGCGCTACACTAGTCTGCGTCGTGGCTGTTTCAACAGGAACAAATATATTTTTCACTCGATACACGTAGACTTAATATTGAGTGCTGCTGCCACTGCCGCCTACTGAGCTGCTGTTTTTCTTAATGTATTTGCCTGTTGAACCTGTACCGTCGTGTCAGAGTCAATGTGTGACAGTTTATGAAGTAAAGAGGTCATGTGTGTTGGTGCAGTGCTCTTGCCTGTTTCAATAAGCACCTCCTGCTCTTGACTGCACGAGACATACGTCATGTAAACAGACCCCAAGGGCCAGGTGAGAGAGACACAGAACACTGAACAAGAACAACACAATATGTAATGATTTGACGGCCTCGCGCAGTTCCCCCCTGACTTACTGTCTTGCGCGGTTACACCTTCACTGATTGCATTTACTGCAACATATGGGTGGTTTTCATAAAGCCATCGACACACGTGAGCAGGAGCATTAACAGCCAATCAAGATTTCCCTGTGCGTAGATCCTATACTGCCTGTATATAACAGCCAAGACTCTAGGTTTTAGCTCCCTCACCAAATACACAGAGGACAGCACAGTAGGCACCCTACTTCTACACGTTAGCATAAGGGACAGGCACGTAGAGAGAGCAGAGATAGACTCTAGGCTTTGAACTACACCTGTAGTAATACTCTTAGGTCTTGCACACATCTCCTGCTATGCCCTGTCCTGTGAGCTCCGGATCACGTGTGTCAAAGGTATGGGTTGTTTGCAAAACACTGGGTAACGTGTTTTATTGGCTTGTGCACGCCATTGGCTTGTGCATGATTTTTTTCCAAGACAAACATAAACACAATATACTGTCACAAAGATGTCACGAGTAGGCCCTGTTGAAGTCGTACTTTAAGCAAAGCTCGTAAGTACTATTCGATTGGTTCTCGAGGATGAGCTCTGGTTCTGGAACAGTAGGGGTAAGTCGCTGTTGAAGTCGTGTCTTAAGCAAAGCTCGTAGACACTATTCGATTGGTT